AAAATCTAGGAACATATAGCGATTCATTATTATTAGTTATTCTTGCAATATTTTTAACGATTTTAACAACACCCCTCGTATTAATAACAGCATTGATTGCTGAACATCTTATTTATCAAAGCCTAAAACTATTGAATTAAAAACTACTCTTGTATAATGATATCAATATCTTATTTTATTAATAAACTTTATATCAAATAAACCTATTTATTGAATATCTATTGTATAATTAAATAACTTGTTAAGTGATAGACTTACCAGATTGAACCCCAATAATGAAGAGAAATTAGTGAATAAAGAGACTAATTTACTCAACAATAAACTCTTAGATTGATCACCTACGATGATACTATATTATTAGAAACAATACAAGTGAAATTATTTTACATGAATATTCATGTATCAAAATTATTTATCTTGACAATACTCACATTATATTTAAGACAAACTCAAGTACAGATTATTATTTCCATCCTGATCATGCAAACACCAACTACAACCACAACTCTAAGCTCCACACAATTAAGCCAAATAAGCCAAACTATATTTCCAAATACACAACCAACTATTGTTATAATAACACTAACACCAACAAACAATTCAAACAATATTTTAGTTACTGTTATTGAAGTATTAGCCGCATTATTGACCATATTAACAACAATAAGTACAACCCTTATTATTTGCTTTAAACGTGTACAAAAGAAAAAAAAACAATATAAAAATCAATTCAACAATACACATAGCAATGCACACCCATTTATACAACCACCAAACAATACTTTAACTTCACAACAAATCTAATAATTAGCCGCACAATTAACTCAACCGCAATCGCAATCACAACAACAATTTCCTGTAGTAGGAACTGGATTACTATTATATTCTAAACTCAGAAAGAAAGCTAAATTTGCAAAAGTAAATACCCTGAATCAATTAGGACAATCAGGATCTGAAGACGGATATTCTACTTGGAATTAATCTATTATACTCCAATATCTATTGTTTATGAACCAAAACAAACAAATATTAATCATAACTTTAATTGCAATCATACTCGCAGCTGGACTAACAGCAATACTCCTTATTAAACCACAAAACATATAAATCACAATATTAATTATTATTCTAATTCTAACCACAATATTAGGAATAGTCATTGTACTATTAGCTACTTTGATACTTTACCAATTTAATAACAATAGTCCAAACAATAACTCCAACCTTAATGTCTAAAACAACAACTTGTACCAATTCTATATTTGAACCATCTGCATCAATGTTACTTATAATATTATTATTTGTTATTGTACTTTGGATACTTACCATTACTATTATTTGTTGTAAACAACAACAAGATAAGAAACAACTATATAAACAACACTCAATACTTTGGTATTACGCAGACCAAAACTCAGGCTGCTGTTGTTAGAAATAAATAACAAACCCAACACCAACACTGATACAACCAGATACCACTACAACTATTTACATTATAGTAATAATTATTGAAATATCTTTATTAATATCCTTAATTATCTCAACAATATTATATTCTACTTGTCATAAAAAAAAACAACAAAGAAATAGAAAAAGAGAACCAAGTAAAGCACTACAAAAACCACAATATCTTAATATCCACCTTAAACAAATCTTATCAGGAGAAATACCTTTCACAGTAGACTTTCAAAAAGAAATAGACGGAGACGTTTATTACCAAGATATCTACCATTAAATGTGCTTTACACAAAGAAATAAAAAGAAAAGAAGAAATTTAAAGAAACAAATAAACTTTTCAAACCAAGACTACCAAACAAACCAACACCACCTATATAATTTGATACCACAACAAATAGCAAATTTATTTCAAAACCAACAACAAGAAATAATAAATTATTTACAACAAAACCTATTTGGACCAAACACTTAAAAGATTAATCAATTATTTGGATATAAATAAAACTCTTTATCTTATTATTACTTTTAATAAGAATAGTTGCAGGACAACAACAATTTACTTTCATAACACTCACTATACCAACTGTAATCCAATTTGTAATACCAACTGGTACATCAACAACCATTACCCAGACAGTATTTACTACAGAAACTACAACACTAGGATACTTTAATGACCAAAATATTATAGACCAAGATATTGTATCTATAATACTAGTAATACTAATAGCAAGAGTAATTATCTGGACAAAACATAGTCAGAAAACTCAAGAAAAACTTGTTATAGCAAAGAACTATATTAATAGTCAAATATAAATAGAAGAAACAGTTAACAATACTATAACACCAATAACAACACAAGTAGTTTAATGACAAACCTACCAAACATATTCAACTTTGAAAATATACCAAATTCAAGGTATTGTGAAGACGATGAATCTAAACCTTGTACAGAACTCAAAACAACAGATCAAATATTGTAAGAATTAGAACAACAAGAAAAAACAAATACTCAAATCAAAATATCAACAATTAATCTTACAAGAAGAAAACGTTTACCAGAAAGCAAAAATAATTATTGACCAAAGAAAAACTACTAGTACAAATATAATATTTGCATACTTGGTATTTTCAATAAGAAAAGGAGAATCAGATGAGTATATTAAAGCAATTGCAAAAGCATACCAACAAGATTTAGATACTATAAAAAAACACACTGAAGTAAAATATTTATACAAAGCCAAGAACAAAGACAACCCCAATACGGAGTAACTAGATTAACAAATTATGAATTTCAACAGTAGATATTTAAATATTCAATATCAAAATACAGACTAGAAGTAAGAAAATATTATCAAACAGTATTCACAACATACTTTAATACAAATACACCTGAATACCCAACAATATCCAGTGAAGATAAATTAAAGATAGTAAGAATAATACAAAACCAAGACAAAAAGTATTTCAACAAACTGTTTACAAAGATAATTATACCAAACTACAAAAGAGAAGAAGTATTTAACTATATAAAGTACAGACATATCCTTAACAGATATGACATAATATATAGAGGACTATTAATTGCAAACCAAGCAAAGAAAGATTATATTCAATATTGTCTATTAGCAAATATACTACCAATATAAAACATAAATGACATTATGAAATAAATAGTAAATACTGAACAAATAATCCAGGCACTACAAGAAAAGGAACCGATAATAGAAAACAGAATTCAAAAACTTGGAAAGAAAATTAACCAAAGAAGTAGTGAAATACAACAACTTTGAACTAAAAAAAAAAAGTGGCTATAAGTTAAACTGTGGATATATTGGAGAATCAAAGAACCTGAACCGATAACTGACAAAACTCTACAAGAATTAGAAAACAAAATAAATAAATAAAATGGCAGACAATGATGAATTTGTCGACATAACCAATTAGAACTTTAATGAACTAATGGGAAACTGGAAATGCAATGGTGCAAACTAGCTAGAATGGAGTATAGAATTTGAGAAAAGAATACAAGAAAAAATACTATTGGAATTATTAGCAACAGGATATTTTACTAGAAACTCTAAGAAAGGATAGACAAGATTTAAAACAAATAATAAATCAATAAAGAATACAACAACTGGAATATTTAACGTATACTTTATAAAATTAGTAATCAACAAAATAGCTATACAATGCTTTACAATAGAATTATATAAAAAATACCAAGCAAAAGCAGCATTATTTAATTGCTACTTTTGTAGTAACTTTGATAGAGGAAAAAGAATTCCACCATACAAATAGGAATGCCCTTACAATACCAGTGCTACTGTAGTAAATGACACTAATGCAGTAATATTAAATCCTATTAGATTTCCAAAAGAACTAAATGACAAATTTACAAAAACAAATATCAGAAATAACAAGAAAACAGGACAAGACATCCTTGACTTTTATGATGATACTGCAAATATAAAGTCAACACAAGTATTATTCAGGTTATAGATAGATACTCAAAATATTACCTCAGAATTCACATTAGAAGCACAATGAGTATTTAGAAAATTAAGATTTAACCCACGATATGCAATAAATGTATATGAAGATGAAGAATTTGTAGATGAATTTAATAGGCAAATGGAAATATCAAATTATAAGCAAAACTTTGCAACAGGTTTAAAATTATTGATGATGGATACTCTACTATCTGGAAGACACCAAGCAGAAAACTATTGGAGTCAAATGAAATTATACGAATCAAATATCAACTCTGAAAAGAAATTTTGAGATGCATTACATACTATAAAGATTCAGAAGTAGGAACTTATTTTAGAAGTAAAAACCCGCAACAACAACAAAAGAATATTAATTATATTCAAAAAAAATCTTGGAAACAGAGTACCCAGAACAATAACTATCAAGACAAAGAATTCTACAATACTAAAAAACCTAGAAAATATCAATAGTGACAATATAATTACCAAATAGTTGACATTAGTCAATCAAAATGTTTCAATTGTGAAAAAGTAGGCTACTTCTTTAGAGAATGCCCTACCAAAGAAACTTTTAAGAATTTCAGATCTTTCTACAACAAAGAAAAAGGAAGATGTAGAAATAACAATAACCAAAACTAAAACAATGGCAAGAAAGAAAAATGGAAGAAAACTTTTAACCAAAAGAAACCAGGAAGAAAATAAAGAAATAATCCACCACTACAATTTGAACATAAACTACAAACTATTTCACAATTCCAACAAAACCAGATCATAACAGAAATTGGTCAAAAATCAAAACCCAATTTTAACAAATTTAAACAAATTTAAACAACAATGACAAGAAAGACAATCACAAAACTTCATGAAACAAAAATGAATACCTTACCAAGCAAGACAACCTAAATTTAACTCAGGATAATAGAATCCTGATAAAGGAATTATCTTTAAAAAGAATTTTGACAAAGAAAAAAAATTCATAACCAGAACACCTACTTGTACAATCTGCAAATTATTTACTCATAATACCACAGATTGCTATAAAAATGAAAACCAACAACCTTTACAAAAACAAAGAATATGAAGACTTCCAAAGTTTTTAAGAATTCTAAAAGGCAAAAAATGCTTACCAAAACAGTGTGAACAATTATAAGGAAATATCTACACTAGGATTAATTACCAACAATCTAGAAAATGTACATTTTACATAGGAGGCATGCCCTATACTCGTGACTTACTTTTACAAACATACACTGGCTGTATAGGAAAGTTTAATAAATTAAAGAATAAATATAATAACAAAGAAATATATACATTTAATAAAGAAAATATTAACCAAAAAATAAACTCTGCCGCATATAATAAACTATACTTCTCAAATAAAACTATAATAAATTCTAAGAAACCTAAAGAAGCGAAAAGATTCTATCTTATTGCACTAGTAAATAATAAACTAATGAAATTAAAACTAGATGAAAGATCCACTAACACCATAATGAGCATAAATCATACTAAAAAACTAGTAATGTATAAACTCATAGAAAAACTAGCCACTGCTGAAGCAGTAGGAAACCATGTGCAAATACTTAGAAAAATGTTTGTAAATATTAAAATTAATGAATTCTTAATTACAGATATAAAAATAGATATTCTAAAAATATATTCTAAATACATACTACTAAGTAATAAAACCTAATTCGAACTTGGAATAACTAAAGATACCAAAAACCAAATTATTTTAATTAATAACTAACCAGTTATTAACCAACAAAACCTTAGCTGATACAATAGTATAATCAATGTATCTGAAAGATACTTCAGTATTGGAGATGATATATACTGATCACTGACTTTTAGGTAACTTTGACTTGAAAAATCATGTTTAATTCAGCCGAAAACAAGACCACATGGCACCTAACGTTAATATTTTTCATCTACAAGGGACCTACCCACACCAACAGACAAACAATGTTAGAATTAATTATCTGAATAGGATTCACCTCTATCAACATATAAATAATGATATTATGAATA